GCGAGCTGCACGGGCGCCTCCGAACTCCCGAACACGTCCAGGTTGTCCACGTACAGGGTGTACTGGGTCTCGGCGCCCTTCCGCAGCACGACCGGCTCCGTGTGGTCCGTGATCCTCCGGCCAGGTCCCAACTGGTGCACCTGGTTGAGGACTGTCTCACTGCACTTCTGAGCCACCCACAGGGACCAGGTGAACCCCATGGGAAAGGAGGCCAGGCAGGGATAGACCGCAGCGTTGAGCGCCATGTCATCTCGCAGTGGGGTGTACTTTGCGGCGATCGGCCGCAGCGCGAAACAGCGGTGCATCCCCTCGGGCAGCCGCAGCCGGTGGAAGCAGTTCTCCACGTCCCCCACACCCAGCGTGAAGCAGCAACTGGGGTCCGCGCTGAAGCCCGGCTCGCACTCTATCCTGGACAGCCCGTCGCTCGTGATCAAGTCCGTGTGAGGGGGGGCCCTGAATCGGCGATTCCCCCGCCTTGCGTCAATGATGAGCCTCAGGGACTTGTCCTTCTTGCCAACAAAGAAAAGGCCCGCGTGCTCAATGGGGTCAGCGGTCCACTTGATCAGGCCCGGTCGGTCCAGGTCCAGGATGAACTGCCGATAGGCCTTCTGGTTCCGCGACAGCCTCTTGTCCCAGAACGGTTTGATGTCACCCAGCCACTCGTTGAGCTGTCTAAACTCATCGGTAGACCGCATCATACTCTTTTGCCAACCCTCGATAATCAGGCGGTCCTCAGCGCCAAGCACCTCTGTCACGTCTGCAGCGTCATGGACATGGTCAGGGAGCGAGACGGAACCAAACTCGTAGGGCACGACGGTGGCGTGAGTCTCCTCGGCGTCGTATCCGAGATGACCACGGAGAAGCACTCTGGCGGCTTCTTCCTGAGAGGGCGCTGTCACCGGCTTCGCGACGACAGGGGCGACGAGGGTCGCCACGGCCTTCTCATCGAATTCAGATGGCTCTGAGCGCGCTGAGGAGCGGCTGCCCAGACACCAGTGAAGTGCATCCAAGGTCTCGTTCTTGCGCCTGAGCTCCTCCACGCGCAGCCCGTGTCGGTGTCTGGACCGACGGGAGGAGCCGCCCAGCCTGGCTGGGACCTCGAAGGCGGGCAGACGCCGATGCACTCCCAGGCAGGGCCCAAAATAGGCGGCGGGGGGTGGCCCAGTCCCCCCGCCGCGCGCCTCGCTCATGTCGAAGGCGGGGGCGCGGCGAGCCCGGGTTTGGCCTTCATCTTCGGCTTCCCGGTTCCGCGTCCCCCGCCGCCCTTCGGACCCGCTGGGGCCCCGGCCGAGCCGGCCGCACCTGTGTCGTCGTCCTCGCCGTCCTCCACGTGCTTGAGTGTGACTCCTCCACGATGCACGCTGCCCTCCAGCACCTTCTCTTTGAGCGTCTTGGCGCCGTACACGCGGAGGTCTGGCGCCACCGCATCTTCCAGCATCGCCGTGCCCGAGTACACTCCCGCCATGGAGTAGTTCGGCTTGGCGCCAGGCACAGCGTGAGCCTCGATGATGGTCTGGAACCTCCGCATCAGCACCTCGATCCCCGCCAAGCACGGCATGTTCACCTGGTCGTAGCACCCGAACATCTCGAAGCTCTCGGCGAGCACCCGCAGCTCGTGAAAAGCCCTGTCCGACGGCGACATGTGCTTCCGTCGTGCCCAGGCCTCCAGCCACGAGGTGGGCATCGGGCCAAAGCGATCGACGCGCTTCATCACACTGAGCGTCGTACAGGGCCCGTCGAGAGGCCAGTCTCGGAAAGAGTGCGAGACTGACTCACCGCACACCATCTTCCAATCCTTGTGCCTCTCCCCCTGCGAGTCCCAGTCGATCGCAAACACTCGGACATCCGCGGGGGCCTCCTCAGCGCCGGCAGCTGTGGCGCCCACCCGCCGCTCCTCGAGCGGGCTGCCGACGCCCGCGACGTCCGCCTCACGCCCTCCAGCTTCTCGGCGGAAAGCTGCGACTGGATCGGCGTCAAGCTCGACGGCGGCTGTCGGCGCCCCACGCGGCGTCGGTGGCGAGAACAGCGCAAGCCTCTGGGTCCTGAAGTCCTCCAGGCTCATGTCGGGGTCGACGCCTATCACTGGGACCTCCATGCCGGCGTCAGTCACCGCCACTCCGTGTACGCGGCCTGCGAACGCCAGCAAGCGCGGAGCGACCTCCGTGCCGACGTCGCCAATCTCCAGTCCAGGTTCAGCCACTCGCCAGACCACGGCCGGGGCGCCCCCGGCTTCGGCCCTGCTGAGCGCGGCCCCAAAGAGGTCGCCTCGAAGGTCGCCACCCGGCCCAGACCGCGCACGCGCAGCTGCCGTCAGCGGCAGGGGTGGGCCGGGCATAGGAAGGCGGCCCCGCCCGACGAGCCGCCGAGGCCGCGGCACTGCCTCCAGCATCCCTTTGGCCGTGATCCAGCGCGTGGGCGCAGGCCAATCTGGCAGTCCGCGCTGGTCCCTCAGCGAGCTGACGTGCCTCTGGGCGGACTCCATCAGGTCCAGGAACTCGCCCCGCTGGATTGGGCCGTCGAACTGCACAATTGACTCCGCCTCCAGCCCTGCGGGTCGCTCGCCCAGGGACTTGAGCGCCACGACCTTGTCGTACAGAGCGGTATCCTCCCCATAGAAATCCCCATTGGCTGTGTAGATCAACCAGCACGAGGCCGAGAGCGGCCACACCAGCACTCGTTCGTGTCCCCAGGCATCACCCTCGAAGAACACCACGAACGTGTGCCCTGGCAATGGCGTAGTGCGGTCGGCGAGCGCCATGTTCCCAAGGCCTCTCGTGACAGCCACACGAAGCCAGCAGCCCACTCAGAAACGTAGTCGCCGCTCCGAAGCACAGCTGCCACCAACTGACCGACGTCAGCTCCGGCTCGTCCTCAGAGGCGAGCAACGGCACCTCCTGACACTCCTGCTCCCAGGGCGGCCCCGTGAACTCAGGGCACCTCTCAGGAACAGGGCAAGGGCTGCACTCGCGGGCCTCGCAGCTCACGTCCCCGCAGTCGCAGGCAGCCGCGACGGCCAACTCCTCGCACCTCTCAGGTGCCGGACAAGGGGTACACACCTCGGCTTCGGGAAGAAGTCCTCCAGGATCCGCGTCCCTCGCGGTCTCCAGATCTGTGGTCCGCTCCCTGCGGCGCCTCGCCGAGCCCAGCGCGAACTCCGCCAGCCACGAGAAGCCCTCCAGCGCCAGCCCAGGCCGCTCCAGGAAGAGCCGCCAGACGCCGGCCACGTATGGCGTAGCGAGGACGGCTGGGGCACAGGGGCGGGGCATGAGCGCCTATCTGAGGCGGAAGAGGCTTGGACCGCGGTGGTTGCGGTCAGCACAGAGAATGCCCGCGGCCAGCCCCCTCCTTCACGTGCACGCACCCCCAGGAGGGACGGGAAGGGGGGGGGGAGGGGAGCGGGATGACCCTTCCGTGGTCGGGTGAGAAGGGGGCCAAGAAGCTCCATCCACATTTTGCCTTGAAACACAAAGCGCTGCACAACGGAAGGCGGCTTACGAATGCGCGACCCATTACCGTGCGGCACAAGTACGATCATTATCAGCATCAGCATCAGCATCATCATCACAATCCTCATCCTCATCCTCATCCTCATCCTCCTCCTCCTCCTCCTCATCATCATCATCAGCAGCGTCATCATCATCATCATCATCATCATCATCATCATCATCATCCTCATCATCATTATCATCATCATCATCATCGTCATCACCATCAGCATCATCATCAGCATCAGCATCATCATCACCATCATCATCGTCATCATCATCAGCATCATCAGCATCATCATCCTATGACCACCGTCGTCGTCATCATCATCCTCATCATCATCACCACCACCATCATCATCATCATCAGCATCATCATCCTCATCGTCATTCATCATCCTCAGGATTACCACCATCATCATCATCATCATCATCATCATCACCGTCGTCATCATCATCATCCTCATCCTCTTGAACATCATCATCATCAACATCATCATCATCATCATGATCACCGTCACCATCATCATCAACATCATCACCGTCATCATGATCATAATCACCATCACTATCACTATCATCATCATCATCATCATCATCATCATTATCAGCGGCATCCTCATCATCATTATCACCATCATCCTCATCCTCATCCTCATCATTATCCTCATCATAAGCATCATAATCCTCAACCGCATCCTCATCCTGATACAAATCCTCTTCATGATCATCGTCATCATAATCATCATCATCATCACCATCATCATAATCAGCATAATCATCCTCATCATCACCATCATCGCCATCATCCTCATCCTTCTCATCACCATCATAATCATCATATCGTCATCACCATCATAATCGTCGACACCATTATGATCAACATCGTCATACTTAAAAAACATCAAGCCGTCAGAAATACGGTTACCATCACCACCATCACCACCACCAGCGTCATCGTCAGCAGCATCATCAGCAACACGGTCACCATCATCATATCCATGATCACCAACATCTTCGTTAACATCATCATAATCAAAATCGTCATCATCATGCTCGTCTTCATCATCCGCGTCATCATCACCATCATCATCATCATCATCAATGTCCTGGTCGTCATTGCCAGAATCATCGTCATCATCATCACAATCACCACCACCACCGTCATGATCATCAGCAGCATCATACTCACCATCACCAACACCATCACCATGATCCTCATCATCAACAACATGGTCGTCGCCATCGTCATCCTCGTCATCGCTCCTTTTCCTTCTACACGTCCTCCTGCCTCTCCCGCACCATACCCATCGGTCGGAAGAGGTGGGTAGACGCATGAAGTCGGAAGGCGTTGGAAGTAGATTGGACCTCCGCCCGCCGCCTAAAGACCAAGGAAAGGAGAACACCACTCGATCCTTGGAATACGAAGGCGCCTGTAGAAGACTGCAATGTGGGGATCAACAAAAAAAACCCTTGGTAACCCAATTGATCACTGTATGCGGGCGGGGGTCACGCCTCGCCGGAGAGATCCTCGTCGTTGTCTCCTGACTCCGGGGCAACATGTGAGGGGGGAGAGGCATCGGAGGGCTGGCAGAACAGGAGGGAGCGGAATGGGGCGGCACGGGCGGAAGGAAAACTGAGACACCCTCAGCAGCAACAGCAAAACGATGAACCCGGCGCGACCCGAATCGGGGAGAAGCTTCCTCTTGCAATGGAGCATTGCTTAGTATTGCTTGGTGTTGCTTGGCATTTCTTGACATCGCTTGGCATTGCTACGGATTGTCTGGCATTGCTGAGCATTGCGCGGCGAGGGACCAAGGGACCCAGACCAAGACCAAGGAACCAAGACCAGCGAGCCAAGACTAAGGAGCCAAAATAACCCAGGAACCAAGAGAACCCCGGCCAGGGAGCCGAAGAACCAGGCCCCAGGCTCCAACGAACCGAAACAGAAGAACCAAAGCACCAAGACCAAGAACCCAAGGCAGGGCGGCCGGCGCAGGCACACAACCATTTTCTCTGTTGGGGGAAAAGCTCCCCACCTCCCTGCCTCCTCCTTCCAGCTCTTCCATTTGGACGCCCGAAAAGGGTACAATGCCCAACAACAAATGTTGTCCCAAACCAACAGCGGCCGCTGTTGGGCAGGCGGCCTTCTGTCCCGAATGGGCACAGGCCGCGGCGGCGCGAACAGCGAGTCCTGTCCAAAAGGGGCAAGAACTGCTGTTGAGCATTGTACCCATTCTTTCCGTGCCCATCTCGTTCGTGCAGACTCCATGGAGAAACAGAAGACTGCACAAACATCCACTTCTGAGGGTCCGCGCGGACTTCTTCGATCTGCGCTGAACCCCCCCCCTTCCTCCTTCCACCTCCTCCATAGAGGAAGAGAAGATTGCATAAACATTCATTTTTGACGGCCCAGGGGGACGCCGGGGACGGATTGAAATGAGAGGAGGCGCCACGCCATCTGGGGAGATACCAAGGCCCCGCCATGATATCACCCCCCCCACTCATCACCCCTCTCTTGGCCGTCCCCGACCATTCCCCATCCTCAAATTCCCCCTCGGCCCTCCCGCCCTCCATACCTCCCATGTCCCTCCCTCCTCTCCCGTGCAACCCCCTCCAACCCTCGGGAGCGCGCAAACCTGGATTGGCGATCCGTGGATTTGGCGCGCGGTCGCAAAATCCATGGATCGGGGCAGGTGCCCTCCCCAAAAGGCCGCCGGTGCCGCCTCGCTCGGCGGCGGAAGTCCGCGATTCCCCAGGGAAACGGGACCCGCCGCTAATCCACGCCCCCTTGATCCATGTTTGGCGATCCCCTGACCCTCCATACCTCCCGTGTCCCTCAGTTTCCCATCCAGCCCCCTCCCACCCTGGCTCCCCCTTCCCCACCACCCCTTCCCTCCCCGCTCCACGCCGAGGCCCCTTCAGTCCCCCCTGCCTCCTCCCCCCTCCTCCCCCCCCTCCCCTCGCCCCTCCCCCCTTCCCAGCCTCCTCAGTCAACTTCCTCATTCCCCCCTCCCCCCTTTGCCAAGTTCCTTCGAGCTCGCCACGCAAACTATTTTCCCCACGAGCTGCCAGGAATATTTGAAGCCAAGAATGCGCTGTCTCTTGCGCGCCCAAAAGAGCCTGCTCAAAATCCCCACCCGCCTCCCCATTCTCCTGCCTGGCACGGATGGGAAGCACACGACGACATTTTTGTAACGCGGGCAACATCATTGCACCACATCTGCAACCAGGGGGAAGTTCCTCGCCTCTTTCCACCTAGCAGCACAGCTTTCGCAAGCGTGCCAACTTTCCGAAAGATCGTTAAAGGCCTGTCATGGTAGAAACACGAACTGCCATTCCATCCCGCAATACGTTTATGATGAATCGCGGAGCTGGCTGGCCAGATACCTGGTTACGCTTTCAGTGTACTCCCAATGCATGCATGACTCTCAAAACACACCCAGGATGCAACTACTTGAAGAGAGATGATATTGTTCCCTTCCTGGCGAATTCTTGCCGAATCGTTCGAGGCTCCCTGTAGTTGGGCACGTCATGGAGAAAGATCGAGATCGGAGGCGAGGAGAACGGATGTCGGAAGCACTGCGGGACGGGCAGCACAACGTCGTGGGCCTGTCCAGAGAAGCTCCTGATCGGAGGGCCTTCGAGACCGCTGGACGAACCACTGAGCAGGGTTCAGCCACCACACCACCCACAGTTCACCAGGAACGTAGACTTAAGTCGGGCCTGTCCCCCTACAGGGGGATTTTCGACGACAATTAAATAACACCAAGAATAGTCCAAGACTAGTCTGGGGACTATTGTTTGAATATGCTTTGATCTTTTTGAGTATGTTTTGGGTATTGTTTTAAGTTTGTCGTCGAAAATCACCTTTTAGGGGGACACGCCCGACATAAACGTAGACAGGAGGAGGCAACATGCTTTCCGTCCCCGGCGACGCGAAGCCCGACCCGCGGCGAGTGCGGCGGGCGACGCTGCGCGAACTGCACGTCCGCACTCGCAGGGGCCGCGCTGCGGAGCCCAGCTGCGCGGCCCCGGGCGAGGAGCACACCGCCGCGAGCGGCGACCGCATCTGTCCGCACCCGCGCGCCCGCGGCCCGGCAGAGCTGCGCGGTCGCACGGCTCCACTCCGCGCGGGGCGTCCGCGAGCCAACGCCCCGCGTCCACGGGGCCGCGGCCCGGGGGCCCAGGCCCGCGAGGCCGCGGATACATACGTACACCGCCCCCGGGCCCAAGATGGGCCTGGCCACGGGCAGATCGGTGCCGTCGCCCGACGGATACGAGGAGGGCGCCAACTACACAACCAGACCAAGGTCGGGCATGTCTCTCTACAGGCGGAGCTTGAACGAAAAATGAAACATATACAGAAAATGCATAAGAACACTCAAAAATAATCAAGACATCGACCCCAGACTATTTTTTGACTATGTTTGGATAGTCCTCCTGTAGAAGAAGGACGTGCCCGACTTCAAACCAGACGCCGATCCTGGCCCGGCCTTTCCTGAGCCGAGGATCGGTGCGTACGCCCTCCCCACTCAGGCACGGAGGCATCTACATACACCGACTCTGGGCCCAGGCCCGGCTCCTCCTCCTCCCTCCTCCCTCCTCCCTCCTCCCTCCTCCCTCCTCCCTCCTCCCCCTCCTCCTCCTCCCCTCCTCCTCCTCCTCCTCCTCCTCCTCCTCTCCTCCTCCTCCTCCTCCTCCCCCCCTCCCCCCGTGGAACACCCCTCCGCGGGACCTCCCAGGAGCATATGAAAGTGGCGACAATTTCGCAGATCGCAGCCCCCCGGGGACGGCGAGGTCTCGTGGGACACCCCTCCGCTGGACCTCCCAGGAGCCCACAAAAGTGGCGACAGTTTCGCAGATCGCAGCCCCCCAGGGCGCGGCGAGGTCTCATGGTGGTCCCCGTAGGACACCCCTCCGCGGGACCTCCCAGGAGCCCACGAAAGTGGCGACAGTTTCGCAGATCGCAGCCCCCCAGGGGACGGCGAGGTCTCATGGCGGTCCCCGCTCCACTGGCCCTCCCAGGAGCCCAGTTTCGCAGATCGCAGCCACCCAGGGTGTGGCGAGGCCTCATGGTGGTCCGCGTGGGACACCCCTCCGCGGGACCTCCCAGGAGCTCACGAAAATGGCGACAATTTCGCAGATCGCAGCCCCCCAAGGACGGCGAGGTCTCGTGGTGGTCTCCGTGGGGCACCCCTCCGCTGGACCTCCCACCAAGGGTTGGGAATAATCCAAGAGGCAGGGAGGAGGAGGAGGAAGAAAACAAGTAGGAGGAGAAAGGAGGGAAGAAGGAGGAGGGGGAGGAGAGACTGATTGATGGAGACCACGGTGCTCATTCAAAACGAGAACCCAACCAAGGGAGGGTCCTCTGCTCGGGCGGCGCCCGCCGAATTGAAACACACGGCGGAGGCGCCGGTGATTAGCGCCGACGCCCAGCCGACTGCAGGAGGGTGACACGATCCAGGCCCCACCCCGGAATCGTGGATCGGCGACGGTGGGGTTTGGACTTTGCCGCCCAGCTGCAGCAGCAGCAACAGAGAAGCAGCCTCGCGGGCGCGAACGTGCACACACACACACACACCATCAAAAGGGCATCCGTGAACCCGTGACCTCGGGTTCATGGCTGGGCACCGGGCCTGGCCCAAAGCAGGCCCGCCGGAGGCTCGACTTGGCCTCGAGCTGGCACGCCCCGGGGGGGCCATCCGAGCACCGTCTCACCGGTCCCCATCCCTACTTTGGGCGCCCGAGTTATCTGGGGTAACTCGGGTCCGGGGTAACTCGGGTTTGGATTCCCGAAAAAGGAACCCGAGTTATCCCTGACCCGAGTTACCCCTGATGATTCGGGGCTCTGGACGCCCGAGTTATCCGGGGTAACTCGGGTCCGGGGTAACTCGGGCTTGGATTCCCGAAAAACGAACCCGAGTTATCCCTGACCCGAGTTATCCCTGATGATTCGGGGCTCTGGACGCCCGAAATATCCGGGGTAACTCGGGTCCGGGGTAACTCGGGTTTGGATTCCCGAAAAACGAACCCGAGTTATCCCTGACCCGAGTTACCCCTGATGATTCGGGGCTCTGATGGGATGTCTCCTTCGGGCTTCGACGGCCCCTCCCCACCTGGGGGGGGGGTCGGCAGGCGAGGCCGAGATGCCAAGGCCCGGTGGGGATGGGAATCTGTTCAACGACGGTGGCATTATGTCGGGCGCGTCCCCCTACAAGGGGACCTTCGTCGAAAAATCCCCCCCCCAAAAAGACCCTAAAAATACCCCAGAAAGGTCAAAACATACTCAAAAAATAGTCCCCCGACTGTTCTTGGACTACCTCCGGGCTACTCCTGGGGTACTTTTTATTTGTCGTCGAAAAATCCCCCTGTAGGGGGACAGGCCCGACTTAACAGTGGCACTCGGAGAAGAAGAAGGCAGGCTGCGCAGCGCGGCGCGCAGCGCGGAGACGTCCCCCGGAGGAGACGGGCCGTTGCCGGCCTGCGCAGGGGGCCGTGGCCTCAGACTCACAGCAGGCCGAGAGGAGGATTTCGCGGCGGGTCTGTGCGGCGTCGGCGCGCGCAAGTGGTCTGTGACACCGCGTCGATCCTTCAACTGGCGGTGGACAAACCTCCCTTTAGTAGACCTCCCCTTAGTGAAAACGGCCTGGGACCCAAACCGACGGACCTGGACCCGCAGAAATCACGGCCGCGGCGCCCTCTCGCGAACCGAAGACGGCCAATTCCTTAATCGACGTGTCAGGGTAGGAGGTTTGTCCACCCACGATTCAACCTTGGACCGTTTGCCGCCCCGATCGTTCCAAGTTGCATTCCGTCGGGCCCAATGGCACTACCGTGTCCCTCGGTGCCTCCGCGTCGCAGAATTCAACCTGGAGCGCCTTTGCCGGCCCCCGAGTTTGTGTGTCATTCTTCGTTCCCCTAGTTTATAGTATCGGCACTCTGGGTTTCTAAATAAGCGCGGGGCGGGTACCCCCCCGACGGGGGTCAGCCTCGCCTCGTCGTCGCGCCGCGACGGGCGTCGGAGCGCCTTTGGCGCGCGGTGGCTGCCCGCGACGGGGGGTCGACGTGGGGCTGTCGGCGGGGGTGACTCCCCCCCCCGACGCTTCTATTATCGGGAGCGGCCAAGAGGGGGGTGTCCAAGAGGGGGGTGTGCAAATCATGACCCGCGGCATGTGCGCGGCCCAGCGGGGGGACCAGGGACGTAATGAAATAAGAAGAGGCGCCATGAAATCTGAGGAAAAATCATGGCCCGCGCAATGAAATCCACCCCCCCCTAGTCATCCCCCCCCTCTTCTCCGCTCCCGATTTTGAGAAATCGGGAGTACCCTCCTCCTCCTCCGGGAACCCGACTGGCCGCACCGAAGTGGCCCCCTGCGAGAGGGCAGCGGCGGCCCTCCGTCGCCCCACCGCGGCCTCCGGCTGCCCCCCCCCCCTCCCAGGCCCCTCCGCTCGGCGGGCCCCTGGCGGGGGGGGAGGGCGCGGTCCGTGCCAGGAGGAGAGCGGCCACACGTTGCTGTGCTGCATCTGCGCGATGCGGCGGCGGGCGGCGCGAGCGAGGGGAACCCAACCCCCCTGCGATCCCGGCGACTCGACCTTTTCGAGCCAGGCGTTCTCCCGCCCGGCGTCGGCCACCAGGGCCCCCAAAGATCGATGCGGATCTGTGAGGGCGGACAGGTGGGGTCCAGGGTTCCAGTGGTGAGGCGTTACGATGCTGCATTCGTTTGCGAAGCGTCGGATCGCAGGCAGGATACGGGGCAGGGGCAAAACGCCCTCATGATGAGCACCACTACGTGCGAAGCCCTTCGGTGGGCGCACCTGAGGGAGGAGTCGAGCAAGCCAGGACTGCTCGGCAGACGCCAGTGGCTGCCCCGTGAACGCCCGATGGTGGTGGGGGTCGGAGGGCTGTTTTCCTCCAGGATGCCCCCGCCTTCGTCAGCGGGTATTGGCCCCCCACCTTCCAGTACAACAACTCTCGGTGCCTGAGGCCGTCCGCGCTCTCCTCGTGATGTAGACTCTCTACTACAGGAAGGAACAACAGCATAAACATGAGCTTTCGACGCGCGGCGCGCATTTCTTGCATCTGTGCTGGACCGCCCGCCCTGGCGCGCGGAGCGCGCCAGGGCGGCGCCGGCGGCGCCCCCCGGGGAGAGGGGCCAGCGCAGAGCCAAGAAATCCGCGCGGAGCGTGGAAAGCTCTTGTTGATGCCGTTGTCGCCTCCTTCGAGGGATCTTCTGACCCAGGTCAATCCACACCTGGGTCAGTCAAGCCTTCCAAAATCCTGCAAGGTCCTGCGCCCAAGCCCGGGTCAACGCGAAGGATCCTGCAAGATCCTGCAGGATCCTGCGCCCAAACCTGGGTCAATGCGACCCTGGCGCTGCAGAATCCTGCAAGACCCGGCGCTCTGGCTGGCCCCCGTTTGCATGGACCCGTCTCTTGGGCCCCGAACTCCGCCTTTCACCCTCCCCCCCCGCGGTCGTCCTCTTCGTTCCCTCTTTGTCCAGGTGCGCCCTTCGCCTCTGCTGCCGACCAGAAACACGCTGTGCTTCCTACCCTTGGGCGCAGATCGCGAGAGGGGCGATACGTTCGGGAGCGGCCACGAGGGGGGCGTCCACGAGGGGGCGGCGCAAACCATGGCCGGCGGCACGCGCGCGGCCCAGGGGGGGGCAGGGACGTAATGAACTTCGCCGGCCCAACGGGTCAATTAGGGCGTACTAAGATCTCTGGTGTCTGTTTGACAATATTGTAGTTCGCGCGCGCGGGGCCGCCCCTGGGGGTCCCAAGGCGAAAAGTACCCCAGCAGGGTCCTGGCAAGGTCCCGGCAAGTCCCAGCAAAGTTGGCAAGGTCCGGGCAAGGTCCTGGGCAGGTCCTGGAAGGTCCTGGCCAGGTCCCAGCAGGCTCCCAAAAGTCCAGGAGCGCTTCAAGTGGCCTCCAAGAGCCCTCAACATGGCCCGAGACGGCCCAAGAGCGATCCAAGACGGCAAAGATGGCCTCCAGTCAACCCAAAGCGCCTTCAAGACGCCCCCAGAGGCCTCGAAGAGACCTGCCAAGAGAGCCCACAGAGGCAGAAATTCGTGATTTTGCTGTAGTTTTTCCCCATATCCTAAGATGGGGTTCTTGTAATTACTTGGACGCCTCCTACTCCCTCTCCTTCTTCCTCCTCCTCTTTCCTCCTCCCCTCCTGTCGGACTTACTCATACTCAGACTTGCCCATACTCAAACTTACTCATACACAGACTTACTCATACTCAGACTTACTCATACTCAAACCTACTCATACTCAGACTTACTCACACTCAGACATACTCATACACAGATGTACTCATACACAGACTTACTCATACCCAGACGTACTCATACACAGACTCACTCGTACCCAGACTTACTCATACACAGTACGCTTGGAGAGCAGATTGTGAGGATGTCTCAGGCGGGGCGCTGGTTTCAGCACCCCTAAGGGGAGCCGCCAGGGGTGGTTGCACGGGCTCGTTCGCGGCCATTTTGTGGGGATGTCTCAAGCGGTTTGCTTGTTTCTGGGCCCAACATCCTTCGCTTGGAGAGCAGATTGTGAGGATGTCTCAGGCGGGGCGCTGGTTTCAGCACCCCTAAGGGGAGCCGCCAGGGGTGGTTGCACGGGCTCGTTCGCGGCCATTTTGTGGGGATGTCTCAGGCGGTTTGCTTGTTTCTGGGCTCAACATCCTTCGCTTGGAGAGCAGATTGTGAGGATGTCTCAGGCGGGGCGCTGGTTTCAGCACCCCTAAGGGGAGCCGCCAGGGGTGGTTGCACGGGCTCGTTCGCGGCCATGTTGTGGTGATGTCTCAACCGGTTTGCCTGTTTCTGGGCCCAACATCCTTCGCTTGGAGAGCAGATTGTGAGGATGTCTCAGGCGGAGCGCTGGTTTCAGCACCCCTGAGGGGAGCCGCCAGGGGTGGTTGCACGGGCTCGTTCGCGGCCATTTTGTGGGGATGTCTCAGGCGGTTTGCCTGTTTCCAGGCCCAACATCCTTCGCTTGGAGAGCAAATTCTGAGGATGTCTCAGGCGGGGCGCTGGTTTCAGCACCCCTAAGGGACCTGCCAGGGGGGTTTGCACGGGCTCGTTCGCGGCCATTTTGTGGGACTGTCTCAAGCGGTTTGCTTGTTTCTGGGCTCAACATCCTTCGCTTGGAGAGCAGATTGTGAGGATGTCTCAGGCGGGGCGCTGGTTTCAGCACCCCAAAGGGGAGCCGCCAGGGGGGGTTGCACGGGCTCGTTCGCGGCCATTTTGCGGGGATGTCTCAGGCGGTTTGCTTGTTTCCGGGCCCAACATCCTTCGCTTGGAGAGCAGATTGTGAGGATGTCTCAGGCGGGGCGCTGGTTTCAGCACCCCTGATGGGGTTCTTGTTATTACTTGGACGCATCCGACTCTTTCTTCTCCCTCCTCCTCTTTTCTCCCCCCCTCCTGTCGGACTTACTCATGTCTCAAGCGGGGCGCTGGTTGCAGCATCCCTACGGGGAGCCGCCAGGGGTGGTTGCACGGTAGATAAATGCTCACCGTGGCACGATCCTCCAAAATGACATGCACTTATGGCCTTGTGTGGCCAAACGCTCGTCTTACATATCCCACTGCCAACTATCCTACAACATATGCACATGTGGGAAGCTCCAAAGCTACCACGGGCTGAAAATGGGAAGGCCTGGCAGCTGAGGAGGGGGGATGAAGAGGAAGAGGCTCGCATTCAACCATACTCAAAGCTCACTCTGACTCATACGCAATCACTCGCATTAGGGGTCACTCGTCTTCGTCGGCCCTGTCGCCCACGTGGACGCGCTATTGTAGTCGACCGCTCATGAACAGACGCTCACCACGGCATGACATAAAACATGGGATGCACATATGGGGAGCTCCACGCAATGAGTAATTGGCGTTCTCTCCCTGGGAGCTTCCTGGCGCTCCGAGACGGCCCCAGAGGCTTCCAGGATCGCCCCAAAACGGCGCAAGAGGCCTCCAAGAGCGCCCACAACTGCCCCAGAGGGCCCCAAGACAGCCCCAGAGGCTTCTAAGACGGCCGAAGAGGCTCCCAAGACGGCTCCAAGAGCAGCCCAAGACGAGGGACCCGAACAGACATTTCGAGCTCCAGGAACAGCGAGGTCCGATGGAGGCCCAAAGAGGCCCCCAAGAAGCCCCCAAGAGGCCCCCGAGAGGCCCCAAGATACCCGCAAGAGGCCTCAAGAGACCTCCCAAGAGGCTCCACAGAGACAGAAATTAGTGATTTCCCTTCAATGTTTGAAGGTTGTTCGTGTTCTCTCCCTGGGAGCTTTCTGGCGCTCCAAGATGGTCCAAGAGGCTGCCAGAAACGCCCCAACACGGCGCAAGAGGCCTCCAAGAGCGCCTAAAACGGCCTTAGAGGGCCCCAAGACAGCCCCAGAGGCCTCCAAGATGGCCGAAGAGGCTCCCAAGACGGCTCTAAGAGCGGACCCAGACGAGGGACCCGAACGGACATTTCGACATTTCGAGCTCCAGGCACAGCGAGGTCCGATGGAGGCCCCAAGAGGCCCCCAAGAAGCCCCCAAGAGGCCCCCGAGAGGCCCCAAAAGACCCACAAGAGGCCCCCAAGAGGCCCCCGTGCCGCCCCAGGAGGTCCCAGACATACCGGCATGAGGCCCAAAAAGAGGCCTCCTTTCGTCACACCAACCCTGGCTTCTTTCTTCCCTCTCCTCCTTCTTCCCCCTCTGCGTTTACGACCCTCAATCCTCGAACGAAAGCGCACTGCCAAAAGGCCCCCGAGAGGCCTCCCAGAAGACGCCAAGCGACTCCCAAAGAGGCGCCTTGTCCATGATCAGTTTCGCTCCAATTTGACACAAAAAGCTCTCAAGAGACCTCCTCCTCATCCTCATCCCCCCATTTTCCTCCTCCTCGTCCTTCTCCTTCACCTTTTCGCTCGCCACGAACACACAAACATATAGCACCAGTGATGCAGGATGGGCCAGCGGAATGAGCGAAGCGAATAAAAAGAAGAGACGCCATGAAATCTGGGGAATATCATGGCCCACGCCATGATATCCACCCCCCCTAGTCCTCATTCCCCTCTTGGCCGCCCCCGATACATGGGGGGGGGCAGCGAGGGCTGCCGAAAAGGAGCCCTTTAGGGCCCCTAAAGGGGCCCGAGAGTGCCCAGAAGGGGGCCCTGAGGGCCCGAAAAGGATGCCTTTCTCCCACCCACCCCTTTATCGCCCCCCCCGTAAATTCGCGCCCAGCCCTCGTCTGGGCAAACCTTGCAGAATCCTGTAAGATCCTGCACCCAAACCTGGGCCAATGCGAAGGATCCTGCAGGATCCTGCACCCAAACCCGGGTCAATTTTGGAGTCCCGAAATGGTGCGGTGACAGACCGTGCGGTGACCTCGAAATCCCCCAAGACCTTACCGCACGGTCCGTCAACGCACGGTTTTGGGACCTCGGATGCCCCAATCGCCCGAGACATCCTCGAAGAACGACCCGAGTCCCAAAACCGTGCGGTGACCCCGAATCCCCACCGACTCACCGCACGGTGTGGTCACCACCCCGCTTAGGAACCCCCGATCAATGCGACCCTGGCCCTGCAGGATCCTGCAAGATCCGGCGCTCTGGCGGACCCCCGTTTGCATGGACCCCCGTCTCGTGAGCCCCGACCTCGAACAAGCGGGCCGATGCCAGGGCCCTGCGTCCGCCGCAGTCGGACCCCCTGGCCGCCCTCCCCGGGAGGAGCGGCCAGCCAAGCCGGCGGGGCGGCCTCTGGACCGCGTGCGCGACCGCGTGCGCCCGTGTCGTCCCTTGCGCGCTGCCCCTGTACACGTGTGTTTATGATTAGCCAGGAAGAACCCTTACTCCTTTGGGAGGGGACCTTATTTAGGAGGGGCCAAAGCATTAGGGACAGGGGCTCTTTTCTGCAGGTGCACCAAACCAGCCGCCCCCATATCCATTATCCCTAATGCCAAGACGGGGATCTCAGTGAGGCCATGTCTTCACTGTGATATTAAGGTTAGGGCTTACTTGATTCTCGATGAATGCACATTCAGATTCTGGCAAGTTCACTTTGACAGTCGGACATAGGTCAGAAGAACACCTCCCAAAAACATGATACCCTCCGTCGGCCACAACAAACATAACGTCTAAGGGTACCCTCCCTGCCCAGGATGCACACAAGAACATCCAACAAGTACGAAGAGCATTAGTGTACACCCTCCCCGAACCGACCTCGATCTCACACCTCGGTCCGACTCTATGGCATTCGCCCCACATACCCATCCGCCGACATAGCAGACCGGGCGGCTAGCCCGGGGGGAAGACAGCAGGGTCGGGCCTCTCAGAAGGCTCGGAAGTCCCCCCGCGGCCTCCCGAGAGAAATTGTTCCTGCACCTCGCGCGCGTGGCGGCGCCTGCCTCTCCCGCAGTGGCTCTTCCGCGCAGGGTGCGCCGGGGCCGTCGCGCGCGCGCGCAAGCTCCCGCCTCTCCCGCTGCGTGCCCCTTCCCTGCAGGACGGGCCAGGGCGGCTGCGCGCGAGACGACCATGACTTAAGTCGGGCCTGTCCCCCTACAGGGAGGTTTTGGACGAAACATTAAAAATACCCCAACCATGCTCAAAAAAGATGCCATAAAAATGCTCCAGAAATCGTCCCCAGACTATTTTCGGACTGTTTCCGAATATTCCTCCTGTAGAGGGACAGGCCCGACGTAAGCCATGGCCCCTCGCGCACGACGTCCTGCGACGCGGGCCGGGCCCAGGCCGCCGCGCGAGCGAGGCCTGCCCCGCCCCTCCCGCCCTGCGCTCCCCCCGCGCCGCGTGGGCCCCGAGGCAGCTGCGCACGCGGCGGCCCTCGCCTCTCCCGCCGCGCGCTGCCCCGGCGCAGGGACGGGCCGCGGGGGCCGCCGCCGCGCGCGGCGGCCCCCGTCCTGGGCTGCACTGCTGCGCCTCCCGCGCGAGACGAGCCCGAGCCGCCGCGCCGGGGGGGGGGGACCCCGGCGGACCCTGCCGTGCGTTTTTGCTGCCTGGCCGCGCCAGACGGGCCATGAAACCGCCGCGCGCGCGGCGGCTCTCGCCGCCTCCGCCTCTTGCTTCGCAGCACCGCATGGCCCAGAGCCGGCGTGCGCGCGGCGACCCCAAGACGGCCCCAAGAGGGGCCCAGGAGGAGAAAAACGAACGGACAATTCCAGCCTTCGGCGCGAAGAGGCCCCTAGGAGGCCTCAAGAAGCCCCAAGAGGCCCCCAAGAGGCTCTAAAGAGGCCCAAGAGAGGCCCCACAGAGGCCCCCAAACGGGCTTCAAGAGGCCTCAAAACTGCCTCCAGCAGGCCCCCGAGAGGCCTCCAACGATCCCAACGAGCATCCAGGAGGCTTATATCCCACAACCCAGGCAAAGTGGCGGGACTTGCCGTAGGCAGCCTGTACTAACTCACTATCTTAGAGAGACGAAGCAGCATCAACATAACCTTTTGACAGTCCGCGCGGTTGTCTTAGATTCGCGCCGGTTCCCCCTTCCTGGCGCGCGGAGCGCGCCAAAGGCGGCGCCAGAGGCGTCGCTAGGAGGGAGGGCCCCAGCGCCGATCCAAGAAACCCGCGCGGACCGCCACAAATTGTTGCTTATGCTGTTTGTCTTCTTCGACTGACCACCTGACTGACTACGGCCGGACCTAGGACCGAATAACATCCTTCAAGAAAATGCGACCCTCCGCCAGCCTAAACACTCCGAACAATAAGATCACTCCAGTGTCAGGGCTCGAGCTAAACAATGTGTTTCGTTTTCGTTGTGTTTCGTGTTCCCTTGTTCTCCCTTCGTTCCTCATCCGGTGCAGAGAGAAGTCAAAACGAGCACGGCCCGACAAGTCTAACACAAGTGTCCATAGCTCCAGCCCTGTCGAGCGCACCCTCCCCCAAGATGCACCGGAACATCCAGCAAACATGAAAATCATTCGGGTACCCTCCCCGAACCGACCTCGGTCCGACCGTAACGAAACCACTCACATTGAGCAGGGACCGACCGTCCCGGCATGCCTATAGTCCTACCACGGAATGTTCTTAGAACCCAACAGAAATAACAAAAACGATGCTCTTAGAACATCGACCCGATGTGATAGAACGGGACAGACTCCGCCAGGAATGCTCTGAGAACATCTCGTGGCAACCACAAACGGCTCTCATAACATGTTTTGGCAGGGCTATTAGGCGAGCCGGGACGCTTCGCCACTGCTTGATCACAGCCAAGAGCGGCGGAGGCGGCCCGGAGCGGCCGCGCGCGGGGGCGGCCCGAGGCGCGCGGCGCGCGCGCGGGGGGCGGCCGGCCAGCAGCAGGACGGCCAGCGCGGCCAGCATGGCCGCGACGCGGCACCGCCTCGACTCCAGCACCCACGCGAAGGCCACCACGCACGCGGCGTACTGGGCGCGCGGGGGATGGCAAAGCTGGAAGGGGCCCCCCAGGACACACGAATAAATACACATAAATAACAGGATTCCCCGTATTTTCCCATATGGTCTGGGCCACATGTTTCCCATATGTTCCCAAAACGTCTTCCTGGGGATCGACGACCTGAATCGTGTTTGTGCGTTTCTTCCCCTCCTGAAAGCTGCGGGCGGCGCGCGCTCGACGCTGGCAGCCACGCGGACGCCGCCACGCATGTGGCGCACGGGCCGCGCGGGTGATGGCAAACACCACGTGGAGCTGTGCGTGCTCGGCTCCGGCATCGCCCGGGCCAGGGACACGAGAGCAACCTTCGAGAGCACGAGGCCCTCCGCCCGGCCAGAGCACCCCAGACTGAAGAACGCTCGAGGGTGCCCCCCCCCCGGGATGCATCAGCACAGCCAGCAGGCACGAAAGACATCGGCGCCCCCTCCCCGAACCGACCCCAACACCGTGCCTCGGTCCGACCGAGCACGCCACGGCGCACGGGCCACCCGTGCCACCGCGTGCCCGGGAGGCTGTCGCACAGCAAGCCGCCGAGCTCCAAAGAAGCGCTGACCACCCGAACTCGGCGAAAAGCGCGAAGAAGGGAAGAGACGAAGCCGACTTTCAAGAAGGCTTCGGCCGGGCGATTTTGCTCAGCGTGTCGCGGCAACGGGGCGGGAGGTCGCGAAAGGCTCGGGACGCTGACGCTCTGGGAGTGGGACGTGGATGGCGTGTCCCTCCGAAGCGCGATGGGCCAGCACCGACGGCGCGACACGCTAAGCCAAAATTCCTGACCGTGGCGAGGAAGAGAAGAGAAATACGAAGAAGGAACAAGGCATATTGTGATTCATGATAGTAACGATCCGAGCAAAAACAATCATACGAATACTAATAAGAAGAAGGTACGTAATAACAATCATGATACTAATCATAGAACAGAGAAGCAAAAAAACAATAACAATGATGATAATGAAAGTAAACGTAATAACAATACCACTGCTGCGGAAAAGCTTCCTGGCCATTTGCGACCACGTGGGCGAGGCCAGGGCCAGGTCTTGGGCGCCTGGGAAAGCATCGGTGCCTTCTTAGAAGATTGCCCCTGTTTTTGGCCCCCACCTCGACACCGACTCTCTCGAGCGGGGCCGAGGGTATGGATGAAACCTTTCCGGAGCCCCAAGCACAACACGGGAACGCCTGCAAGGACCCCGCAACCTCTTCTCATCGAGCGACCCTCGAGGAAGGATACACCAGCACAAACATGAATTTTCGGAGGCAAGCGCGGACACTTGGATCGGCGCTGAACCCCCCTCCCTGGAGCGCGGAGCACGCCAGGGGCGCCGCCGGAGGCGCCACCACGGGAGTGCAATACAGATCAAAGAGATCCGCACCGTGGCCCATCGCCAGTACAGCAACATTTGCAGTCCGCATCCTCAAACTGCTCCCGTGTCCTCCACTTCTGGTGATTCGTTAATCCTTCGGTCCTTCTGCGAAACTAGTTTCTCACTGCGGCGTTTGCGCGCCCACGTGCCCAGCGTACGCGGCAAAGGTCCTGCGCATCCTGGCCTGTCAAGGACAGCTGCCTGCCGAATCTGTGCAATTAAACCAGGGGCGCTGGGGGGGGGGGGCGTCGCTCTCTATTGAATGTATTCGTTTGGCGTTGTTGTTCGAAAACACCATCAATACACGAACACATCGGGCACGATCGCTTCAGGAATCTGCGGGGGTTGGCAACGTCAGAGAACGCACAAGGTGAACCAGCAGTTCGGAATGCGGTGGAACACCCCCACAAACTCAGCAACTCGCTACGTGAAATCCGTTGACTGCGAGGACAATGACGTGGGGGAGTAGGAGGAGGAGGAGGACGAGGAGGAGGAGGAAGAGAGCAAGGTAGAGGGATGGCAGGAGGAGGAGGAGGAACAGGGAGGAAAAAGACGAGGAGGAACAAGAGGAGGAAGAAAAAGAGGAGAAGAAAAGAGAGGATGAGGACACACACACACACACAAACAGACAACGAATCGGACCCACATGTCGTCAACTGATCAACCCTGGGACTGGGACGACTGCGTAGTATACTGGCGTCGGACCTCTCGAGGCGAGCCCCTTCTCTCGCAGGTGCGCAGGCGCCACCGCACAAACACTGCAGGTGCCAAACTCCCGCGCTCGGCGAGCGAGGGGCGAGCGTGCACACGGACACGAAACCAAGTGGCGGCCCTGTTGCCCTTGCCACGGCCACGGCCTCTGCCTGTGGGCGAGGCGGAGGAGGAGGATCAGGACGGGGGCGCGCAAATTTCACCAATGGAAGCCTGGCCAAACTGGCACCGAAAGGCTGGGGCAGGGCCGGAAGGCAGTAGTCCGGCTGCGGCGAGCTCAGCGCACCTAGCGCTGGTACAAAACGCTCGAGGCGCAGACCGAGATGCCGCCCGACGGCACTGGCTGCTCACCCGTGGCGTCATTAGGCCAGATCTTCCCTGAACGCGGTCGTGACTGTCCATGTAGCCACCTGTCCCGTCCGGTCTCAGGGGGGCAGACGAGGCGGTTCACTTCGCGCTGGGGCGGCCCCTTTACTTTGCTGATGCAGCCCCCCTTGGTCTCCTTCATGAGGATGCCCCTGACGATCTTCATGTTCGCGACGTGCAAATCGATTGAACTGATCAATGCACTTTCTCCTGTTTCTTCGGTTGCCTGTTTTCTTTGGCCTGGAAGTGGGTAGTGTGCCCTCCCAGGAGGGTGGAGTCCTCCTGGCAAACTACTGTCGTATACAACTCCTCCAGCACTTTTTTCTTTTCGGGGGTTACCCTTCGTCGAAAAATCTAAAACATCGTTGCTTCGACGACCTAGTGTGGGAGGGCCCAGCGCTGTGGTCTTCCTGGTTGTCGATGGCGTCCTTCTCCTTCAACGCCTTGGCGTCCGCGTCGTACCTCTGTCCCGCCTGCACGGCGTACTCGGTCAGCGGTTTGTCCGCCGTCAGCTCCAAAGTCTCGCACACTGTGACCTGCAATTCCTGCACCTCCTTGCTGACCACCAAAACAAATTTGGCCGTGGTGACTGCAATCGGTACCTCCTTGTGTATGTCCTTGCCGTGCTTGCCCGTGCCCACGGCCTTGCTCTTGCTCATCTTGCTATGCGCATCCTCCTCCTGGAACATGGCCCTCTTGCCAGTCCCTCTGGCGCCCGTGGCGAATGTGTCTACCAACAAATTCTCGACGCCCGTGTCGGATTCAAAAACCATCTGGGGTCGGTGCCCCCAGGGGGCCCGCGCTGGAGTCGGAGGCTGCAGGATCGGTCAGGGAAAATAGTTACGGCGATGCTGGAAAAAACTGTTGTTGATTGGTGTCGGCGTATCAACTGATCACACATTTGGGGACGAAGGAATCAACAGATCTCTTAGTAATTACGGCTCCTGACCGATGGGCACTGTCCGTAACGAAGCGCCTTCATGAAATGTCGTACGGCTGTACTTATCTTTCCGAAGACCGTACCAGAATTTGTGAAAGGGGAGGAGGAAGATGAAGACGACGACGGACGACGACGATGACGGGGGGGAGAAACTGCAGGAGATATTGGGCTGCCTCGCGACGGTGCAGCCCCTGGTCGGCGACGCCACGCTAACCGAGAACGACCTCGAGCTGGACGTCCAATGTTGAGGTGGAGCCGTGGTTCGACGGGGAAGAAGAAGAGGGGGGGAGGAGGAGAAGGAGGAGGAGGAGGAGGTGGAGGAGGAGGGGGAGGAGGAGGAGGAGAAGGAGGAGGAGGAGGAGGAGGAGGTATGGTGAAGCCTCCCGCTGGCCGCGCCCCATTGGCCCATGCGCGGGGCCGTGACGAGGGCGCTCACGGCCGAGCGAACGGCGACCGGCCACACGGGGCCGGCCCCTCCAGGATGGCTCGAGGACGAAGCGCGTCCTGGTTGAAGTGCTTCCGCTAGCGACGGAAGGCCGTGCAAATCGTCCGGTAGTCATCGCGCGCGGCCAGACGATGGAATCTACGATAAGGCAGAATGCTGGGGCGATAATATCTTCATCGTGACGAAGGAGGAGGATGAGGAGGACGAGGAGGAAGAGGGGAAGGAGGCAGAGGAGGTGGATGATGATGAGGAGGAGGAGGCATGGAATCATGGGTCCAAGAAGTGCACAATGCACACCACACGCAGGCGGGCCGCAAGGGCAGGCAACCGGTACCCCCGCCCTCCCCCTCACGGCAGGAAGCGGGCCCGCAGGCGCGCGCACCGACGAACAGGGGATAGGCAGCTATCTCGTCGCCCAGCGACTCGCCCTCCGCCGAAAGGGCGTGGTGCGTAGGGGGCAGTCAGTTCACCTCGTCGGGGGACGACGAGCACGATGATGGGGAAGGAAAATCACGGACGGGCAGGCACGCACACCGCTGGGGAGCGGAGAGGCAGAGAGCCCGGGCCGGGGGGGGGCCCACCAAGCCCGTCTGCAGCGCGTCGGCCCGGTCCTGCGGGCCGGCGCCCCCGACAGCAGGAGAGAAAGAGAGAGAGAGAGAGAGAGGCAAGCAGGCAGGCAGCCCGGCAGGCAGACAAACGGACAGACAGAGAGACAGAGAAGCAGAGTCGGCAACTGGGCGAAAGCTCCGTGGCTGCTAAGACGGTATTCCAGGAAGAAGAAAACACATTCCAATAATAAAACTCGACGCGTTAAATCAGAGTGAGGGGGCTGAACCGAACGGTCATTCACTGTCCCAGGGTGCGTGGCTGAAATGGAATTCCACGATGCGGATTCTTGCTGCTGTTGATGATGTTGTTGTTGGTGGTGTTGTTGTTCTTGTTGGTTGTTTGTTTGTTTGTTTGTTTGTTTGTTTGTTTGGTTGTTGTTTGTTGTTTGTTGTTTGTTGTTTGTTGTTGTCGTCGTCCCACCCGCGACCCACCCGCGACCCACCCCGCGACCCACCCGCGACCCACCCGCGACCCACCCCGCGACCCACCCGCGACCCACCCCGAGACCCACCCCGCGACCCGCCCGCGACCCACCCCGAGACCCCCCCGGCGACCCACCCGCAACCCACCGGCGACCCACCCGCGACCCACCCGCGACCCACCCCGCGACCCACCCGCGACCCACCCGCGACCCACCCGCGACCCACCGCGACCCACCCGCGACCCACTCGCGACCCACCCCGCGACCCACCCAAAATTTTCGGCGCCTGCGGCGGGTCTCTTTTGCATTCGTTCCAGGTGGGAACCTGCGACCCACCCGCGACCCAAACCGCGTTCAGTGTACAAATCAAAACGTTCGGCGTCTGCGGCGGGCTGTTTTTGAATTCCTTCCAGGTGGAGGTGGAGAGTCCGCGACCCACCCGCGACCCAAACTACGTTCACTGAGCGAGCCATAACTTCGGCGCCTGCGGCGGGTTTCAAATCAAAATGTTCGGCGCCCGCGGCGGGCTATATTTGAATTCCTTCCAGGTGGAGGTGGAGAGCCCGCGACCCACCCGCGACCCAAATTACGTGAACTGAAGAAGTCAAAAATTCGGCGCCTGCGGTGGGCTGTGTTTGTATTCGTTCCGTGTGGCCCACCAGCGATTTTTCCCGCGCTGAACTTGTCAGAGTACGCAAATCGGCGTCTGCGGCGGGCTTGCTCTCATTGGTTTGGGAAAGCTAAGCGCCCTCGTGCCATTCCCCCGATCCAGCCCACGTTGACCCTACAACAGCAAGCGGCGACCGCCCCCTCACTCTTATCCGCAATTGCCGGGTGCTACGTAATAAACGGGCCGCTTCCCGGAAGAAAAAAACAGCTTCCCGGAGCTTCGTCTTAGCAGCCACGGGTTTGCCAGCCTGCGCCTAGCGTCTGACAGAGAGAGAGAGAGAGAGAAACAGACGGACAAACGGGCAGGCGGGCAGGCAGTCAGACCGAGAGGGAGAGAGAGAGAGGGAGAGGGCCATCGAAGCCAGAACCTGCACAAACACGAGCTGTCGGAGGTCCGCGCGGATGTTTCTCGGATCGGCGCGAGGCCCCGCCTCCTTGCACGCTCCACGCTCCGGCGACGGAGATCCAGCGCAAATCCAAGGAACCCTAGCGGACCATGACAGTTCCTCTCTGTGCCGTGACTTCTGCCTCCAAGACAAGGACACAGACAGAGACAAAGAGAAAGGGAGAGAGAGAGAGAGAGAGAGAGAAACAAACAAAACAAACAAAAACAATACAACGGGCATGGAGAGATACGAACAGAAGCTGCGCACATCAAAGGTGCAGTGGCAGAGGGGTGAAGCCAGCTGCCCTCCTGGCGACGCGAGAGGGAGATCGACATCGAAGGGCCCTTCCATGGCCAGGTCTTTGAGAACCACCTCAACGACCGCGGCGGCCCGAGGAGACCAAAGTTAGGTCGATAAGGAGACTGAGCGGAGAACGAGGCGGATCGGCGTCCAACCCGCAGGTACGACACAAACGTAAACTCACGATACCCCCGCCTTTGCGCCACTGCTCGGCGAGATGGGGCAGGCGGGAGGGTGGGGGGGAAACGGGCTTGGGCCTGAGGCGATGTGGGGAGATTCCTCGAGCCACATCGGGCTGGAGACCTCGGATCCGAAAACTTCCTCGGGGAACCAAAACGTTTCGATGCCGCTACTCTCCGGACCTTTCCCAGGGTGCGTTTTGACCAGAAGTTCGAGGCGAAACCGGCGGAGGCGACGAGGGACTCCCAGGAGGCCCCAAACAGTGGAAAACAAGAGAGGGGTTACTAGTTGCACGGGTTTCCCCGTGGCCGTAGGCGACCCGAGGAGGAGCAGGAGGAGCAGGAGGAGGAGGAGGTGGAGGAGGGGGAGGGGGAGGAGGAGATGGAGGAGGAGGAGGAGGAGGAGGAGGAGGAGGAGGAGGAGGAGGAAAAGGAGGAGGAGGAGGAGGAGGAGGAGGAGGAGGAGGAGGAGGAGGAGGAGGAGGAGGAGGGGGAAGAGGAGGAGGAGGAGGAGGAGGAGGAGGAGGAGGAGGAGGGGTCGCCTAAGCCCTTCGGAGAAAGCCTCCAGTGCCAGTATAAGCCATGGGCACCTTTTCCTCCTCTGGGTTTCCGCGGGCCCCCCCGCGAGCAGGAGGGCCGAGCCACGGAGAAGCGTGCCTCCTTCCTTCTGCCCACACGTGCCCGCAGGACCCCGCCGCCGCCTCCTGTTCGCTCCAGCAGCAACGAAGCCTGCTGAAACCGCAGCCTGGGAATGAGGGGCAACGCTAGGGGGGAGACCAGCTCAGGGAGGGAAACATCGACCTGGGGTCCGCGATACGTCGCCCGCAGATCGGCGATAGGCTCCCGACAACGAACCCGCATGATCCTGGGCGGGGCAGGCCATCGGGCCCATGTCGTCGATGAGTGAGCGATTGAGGGTCCATGCGTCCCCCCTGAGCCCATCCACCCCTCGTGTTGCCCCTGAGGGAGTCTGCCCTCCTGCTGCTCCCTCATCAGCAACCCTACTGGGCCCTCTCGCGGCCCCTGCAGACACCCCGCTGCGGACTTCGCCTGGACCGGCCAGGGACCCTGTGGAGCCGCTCCGCCTTCAAGGTGGCTCAAGCCTCGGTTCCCTCCAGCGTCCTTTCAGGGGCACTGAAAAAGACCATCCGAGATCGAGAATCGAAGAGGATCGAGGACCATCGAGGGTCGAGAAGTATCGAAAAGGATCGAATGTAGATCAGGATCTCTCTGCGAGCCGCCCCGGAGCCCCCCTGGTGCCTCCCCCCACACAGCTCATATTGTCTTTCTCTTCGAAATTGTGTGTTGTATCCTCTGGTGCGTACGATCGTTACCCGCCCCAACACCCCCAAGTAGCCAGGTAACGGCAACGGTCGTACTGGGGCGGTGGCTGGAAACCCCGACACATGCCAGTGCTCGAGCGCAGACTGTGGCGATCGCAGCGCACCCCCGCCCCGACGTGCCCCACACCGCCCAAGCGTTATTGTCCGTCACCAGGGGCCCGAAGCCCCCCCCAGGTAGCGACGGTTACCGGAAATAAGACACAAACAACAACCTCTTCTCTCGGGGGGGGCTCGAATCCGCCGATCCCCCGCGCTTTCGCGGGGTAAAACCAACACTCTCTGATTGGATGCGCTCCTTGTGCGGGGCACTCCGTCTTCCTCCTTCCCCTCCTCCGCAATTCGGGATTCTTGCTCTCACCGTCCCTCAATTCATTCAAGCCACCTGCTTGAGTGTCTCATTATCCTCCTTCTGATCCTCCTGCATTCCCACCCTAAAGCCACCCTCCACCGAAGCCACAACCCAGCATGATGAACTCTAAGCCCTCTGACCCACACCGAACGCAACCACTGGAGTTTCTACCTGAACTTGGCGACCCCCATGGATTTATCAACTCACCTGATGGTTGGCGGAATGGCGGAGGCCACTTGGATCCAGTCCAATACACCCTTCGCCAACCCAATGCATGCTGACTGTTTTTATCCTACTCCGTCCATTGACCCACACAGCCACACTGCAACCCACGGATTAGGAAGGACATGTCCCCCCACAGGCGAATTTTGGACGAATAGTTAAAACTACTCGGCAAATCTATAAAACATGCTCAACCATACTAACAAACAAATCGTCCCCAGGCCATGTTTGGACTATTTTTGAATATTCCCTCCGTAGAGGGACACGCCCGACCCAACCCAGGGAGGAGTGAGAGAAGGAAGAGCAGGAGGGCCAGCAAGGCCTCGCAGGTCCCAGGGGCCTCTTGATGAGGGTTGGCCAGGGCCAGAGGGGGACTCACGACCCTGTGCAGGGGGTCCCAGCGGGGCCCCAGGAATGGGCAGGCGGCGGAGGGCGAGGAATGTGCGGACCGAGAACTGTATAAACACGAACTTCCGACGGTCCGCGCGCATTTCTTGGATCCGCGCCGGCCCCCCCCTCCCTGGCGCGCGGAGCGCGCCAGTGGCGGCGCTGGAGGCACCACCAACGTTTTTTTGTGTGTGTTGCTTTTGTTTACATATATGACATCCATTTAAATAAATCCGAAAGATGCTTTGTAGGTTTGCGGGGGCCCCCGGACCCCGGACCCTCAGAGAACCCCGAAACGGCTCCGGAGGGCCCCCAGAAAGGCCCGAAACGGCACCGGAGCTTCCCAGAAGAGCCCCGAGACTGCCCATGGATGCCTCGAGACGACCCAAGAAGGCTTTCAGGCGGTCCAAGATGCTCTCCAGACGGCCCCATGAGCCCCAAAGACGTCCCCGGACGGCTCCAGGCGAGTCCAAGGGGTCCCCCGAAAGGGAGCCATCAAGCAAAAATCGTCACAGTCCCTTCGGAAAATTGACATTTTCAGCAGATTCGGCTTATTGATCTTCGAAGCGTCCACAACGGCCCCAGAGGCCTCCAAGATCGCCCAACACGGCCCCCAAGAGGGCCTAAAGATGGCTCCAGACGGGCCCACGACGGCCCAAGAGGCGCCCAAGACGACCCAAGAGGACCCCACGAGAGGCCCAAGAGGGGCCCAGGACAGTCCCGAGACGGCCTATGGATGCCCCGAGACGGCCTCAGGCGGCCCAAGATGCTCTCCAGACGGGCCCATGAGCCCCAAAGACGCCCCCAGACAGTTCCAGGCGGGTCCAAGGGGTCTCCCGAAAGGGTTCCTTCAAGCTAAATTCGTCACATTCCCTTCGGGAAATTGACATTTTCAGCAGATTCGGCTTATTGCCTTTCGAAGCGTCCACAACGGCCCCAGAGGCTTCCAAGATCGCCCAAGACGGCCCCGAAGAGGGCCCGAAGATGGCTCCAGACGGGCCCAGGACGGCCCAAGAGGCGCCCAAGACGACCCAAGAGGACCTCACGAGAGGCCCAAGAGGACCCCACGAGAGGCCCGGACCCTTCAATGACGGCCGCGACGCCCTCCCGCGAACCGAAAATGGCCGATTCACTCATCGACGTGTCAGGGTAGGAGGTCTGTCCACCCCCGACCCTCGCAGCCCCTTCCGGTCCTGCAGGCACTCCGGGAGGCGCGCGAGGAGCCCGGTGCCCGCATCGCCCTCGTCGTCGCGGGGAGAGCCGGGCTGGTGGTCCTCCTCCGCCTCCGCCTGGGCGCCCCGACCGCTGCTCGGCGCTGGCCACTCGCTGCCCCTTCCCATCAGCACCGTCATCGTCCTCTTCATCCGCAGCAGCAGCCATCGTATGACTGTTCGCTCTCGTATGCCCGCGTGTCGTCCAGCATGCATCGGCGGTGGACAAACCTCCCTGTCGTAAACCTCCCCTTGGTGAAAACGGCGTGGGGCCGAAACCGACGGACCTGGACCCGCAAAGATGACGGCCGCGACGCCCTCTCGCGAACCGAAAACGGCCGATTCACTAATCGACGTGTCAGGGTAGGAGGTCTGTCCACACCCGAATGTGACTGGAGCAACCGATTCAGACAACTTCCGGGGCGTACAGCTAACTCAATCACTTCGCCGGCCTGGGTTGCCCCCACAACAGGGCAGGGAGGGGCAGGACAACGAAGAAGGCGGACCATCCCAGATTGTCTGGGGGGGGCCATGGGCCCGGCGCGCTGACAGTTCAAAGCCGCGGGGGTGGAGAACTCGGAGCCGCAGGGGCCGAAGGAGCCTGGCCAACGGACGGTGGACGATCCCGCGCTGCCTGGGAGGCTGTGGGGACCCCACGGACTGAAAATTCGAAGCCGCAGGGGTGGCCATTCGGAACGGCAGAGGTCTCAGGGGCCTGGGCGACAGAGGGCGGACAACCCCACAGGCTGACGGTTCGAGGCAGCGGGGGTGGACAATTCGAGGCCGCGGGGCTGCCAACAGGCCGACAATTCGAGGCAGCAAAAAGTTTGCGAACCGTACCCTTGAATCATAAGATAGTTTGACCTTCTCATCCTTCTCCCTCTTCCCCCTCCCTCTCCTCCTCCTCCTCCTCCTCCTCCTCCTCCTCCTCCTCCTCCTCCTCATCCTCATCATCATCATCATCATCATCATCATCATCATCATCATCATCCTTCTACTCCTCCTCCTCCACCTCCTCGTATTCCTGTTTTATGCCTATTCCGACTCTTATCTCTATCCCTCTCCCTCTTCCTATTCCTATTTATATTCCCATTCCTATTTCTAATCCCAATCCTATCCCGATTCCTAATACAGTTCCTATCCCTTTCCATATTCTAATGCCACCAGCCCTTTGGGCGAAAGGTGGTCTAAGCAGGGTCCATTTCCTCTTCCACGACCCCTCTTCCCTTCGGGGAGGGGAACCCTCCCCCTCCCCGCCCTGAGGTTTCTTGGGCCTCCAAGATGGCCCCAAGAGGCCCTCCAGGGCTCCCAAGATGCCCCCAAGAGGGCTCCAAGAGCGCCCCAAGAGGCCCGAAGAGGGCTCCAAGAGACACCCGAGAGGCACCCGAGAGGCTCCCGAGCGGCCTCAGAGAGCACAAGATGATCTCCAAGATGGCTCAGATAGCCCAAGCTGGCTCAAGATGGCTCCAAAGATGCTCCAAGCGGCCCCAAAACCGCTCCAAGACGGCACGAGATGGCCACGGAGCCTCCCAAGCCTCCCTCGCTGTTTGACTATGCGTGTCTCTTCCTCTCTCCCCCCGTCAACTCTCATGGGCATCGTTTCTGGATGGGCTGGTGGGGATACTTTTTTTTGTTCGCGGCTCCAAGGCGAGGGACATGGAACGGGCTCAAGGTCCGGGGCGCGGTACGTAGATAATTGGTGCGAGATTGCCGCAGACTCCAGCGGACAACACACGCAGTGGCGCATGCACATGCCAGGGACAAGCGAAGCGTCAAGGATCTCAATTTCGATTCCAATTCCTACTCCTGTCAATTTGTATTCCGATGCCCATCCCTATTCAGATCCCTAGTCCTATTCCTATTCCTGTACCTATCCGTATCTTATTGCATGTCCCATTCCTATTGGAATTCCCATTCCTATTATTCTGCCGCTGCTGCTCATCCTCTTCATCCGCCTCCTCTCCCTCCCCCCTTCTCCCTCCTCCCATCCCTCCCGCCCGCACTATCCTCCTCCACTCCGCCTGCTCCTCCTCTTCCAGTCCCTCCTTCATCCTGCAGCTGCGAGAGTGCAGCGCCGACGCCGTGCGTCTGCAGCGCCGCGGGGGGGGACAAGCGAGCGCAGGGGGACGAATAGAAAATCAGTTTGAGCGCGACGGCAGAACAACTGCCGGGGGGGCAAAATATCTAAAATCAACTCAGGCGGCTGGAGCGTATTAGACTGCCAAAATCACCTTCTGTGAGGTCCTGGGGGGGGGGCGGGGGATTTGTTTTAACCGTCTGCTCCCATGATCTCCTGATATCGATGTCCACCTTGTCGCCTTTGATCATGCCCCCTTTGGGGGGCAGACCTTCCTTCTCTGACATGTGCAGCTAGCGCATCCCCTGAAACAGAAAGGACATAAAGAACTGGCCAGAGGAGAACGAGGAAGAAGGGAGCAGGGGAAGGGAGGGAGGCGGGACGAGGGCAAGAGGGATGAAGGGAGAAGGTGTAGGGTTAGGTCGGGCGTGCCCCCTTACAGGCGGATTCTGGACACACATAAAAATAGGAAGACATACTCCAAAATGGTTGACCAAAAATACTAGAAAAATCGTCCCCAGACTATTTCAGGACCTTTTTTGAGCATTCCTCCTGTAGAGGGACAAGCCCGACTTCATAAGTGTAGGACAACAAGGATTCGCAAGAGGGGATGGCAACGAAGTCTCAGGCGAGAGCGCGGTTCCAGAGACAATATTAAAGAAGTCCCTAGCGAGGGCGCAGTTCCAGAGCGCCCAGAGAGCTGCTCGCGAAACAAACGTAAGGAAATCTCATGCGGCAGCGCGATTCCTGGACACATTGCAAGTCGATCTCTAGCGAAAACCCAGCGTCTCAATACAATGTGAGAAGCTACCAGGCGGGAGCATATGTTGTAGTAAACTGGGGGCCAACAGCACAATCTGAGGCCCAAACATCTCCCTTGTAAAACAAGGTGCGAGCTCCGGGAGGGGCACTTCAGTTGAAAAACGCTTTGTGTACAGAAGGGGGATCTACAATACTCATTCTTCAGAACTGAGACCGCAGCAACACCCAGAACATCATCACCACAATCATTATCCTCACCATCATTAGCATCACCACCACCAGCACCATCACCATCATCATCACCACCACCACCATGATCATCATCACCGTCATGAATAGAGGAAGAAACAACTGTCGACGCTCCTTGTAGATTTCTTGGATCTGCGCCGGGCCCCCTCCCTGCCATGTGCCAGAGGCGGCGCCAGAGACGCCGCCAGGTGGTTCCAAGGCGCAAGTCCAAGGAATCTGGGAGGATATCCGAACATTTTTTTCTGTTCTGATCCGATCACCACCACCACCACGATCGTCATCAATGTCGTGACCGGCATGAGCCCCCCACGGCAAATACGAATCCGCCACCGCGCCCCCCCCGCACGCTGGGGCGCGCTAGAGCACCGTCGCTGGCGCCGACGCCGCCGTCGTCGTCGCAGCCGCCGTGATCGCCAATGCTGTCGTGGCCGTCGTGAGCCCCCGGCGGCGGCGGCGGCTGCGAACCTGCCGCCGTGCCCCCCGGCACGCCGGGGTGTGCCAGAACTCTTGGTGCTGTCTGGTAGGGCTTCTGCCGTTCTCTCCCCCGCCCCGCTGGGAAGTGAACAGCCGCAGGCACCGCCCTGTCTTCACGAGGCCACGGTCCTCTCGGCGGCGAGGCGAGGGGGGAAGTGAGAAGGAGAAGGTTTCTCTGAAGGCGGCGGGACTTCTCAGAAGCCCTAGAGACTTCTGAGAAATTGTCGGTGTCATCGGGGAAGGCTTAGAGAACTTCCCAGAAGGCGGGGGGACTTCCGAGCCTTCTGAGAAGGCCCGCCGCCGATCCTTGTCAAAATGCAACAAATTCGCGCCCGCGAGGCCCAGGTGCTTCCGAAAAGGTCCAATAACACTCCACCGCAGGCCACTGTGGCCTCAAGACGGCCCAACATAGCGCCAAGATGGCCCGTGAGGCTGTCGAGGCGTCCCAAGAGAGCCCCAAGAGCCGCCCCAAGAAGACTTCGAGGAGGGAAAAAAATTGATGCACCTCAGCTGTTTGCCACGTTTTTCGGATTCTCGCCTTTTCGAGAGAGGAGGAGGAGGAGGAGGAGGAGGAGGAGGAGGAGGAGGAGGAGGAGGAGGAGAGGAGGAGGAGGAGGAGAACGAGGAGGAGGAGGAGAACGAGGAGGAGGACGGGTCGCCTAAACCCTTCGGAGAAACCCCCCACACCACGGGGTCAGGGTTCTCCGAGGGCGGCTTGGGCGACCGGGGCCTCCGTCCCAGGTCCGTGCGGTGACGGACCTCGCGGGGAGGTCTCGTGGTGTCTCGAGGTCACCGCGCGATCCGTCACCACACTGTTTTGGGGCCACCGGCCGTCGGCGCGGGGGCCGAAGTTCAAATCGGATCGGTCGCGCCAGGGTGCGCGACAGCGACGTGCAAGCGTTGGGCCGCATCGGATCATCGGAGCACCAGAATCGAATTAGATTGAGCTGGCGAGAATCGACGTCGCATCGGATCGAGCGGGTCGGAGTGGAATCTGGAGGGCCGGAAGACGCCGCTCTGGCACAGATCTGCTGCAGAGGACGGGGGCTCCTGCTGGTGCTCCTCCTCCCCTTCTTGGAGGAAGGGGCCCACCAGCCTTAAGTCGGGCCTGTCCCGCCCCCCACAGGGGGATTTTCGACGAAAAATAAAAAATACTCCCAAAATGGTCTAAAAATAATCCAAAATTAGTCTGGGGATTTATTTTTGATTTTTTGTTTAACCTTTTTGGGGTATGTTTGTGGTATTGTTTCGTCGAAAATCCCCGTGTAGGGGGACACGCCCGATATAAACCTAGCTCGGCCATCAATCAGGGTCCGCACTCGGCGGTACCGTTTCGCATCAACCAGGGCGTTGGTTTCAGACTCCGCGTGGATCGCTGCACCTTGACCAATCGCGCTTTTCGGAGAGCGCAGATCGTTCGATGTCGGCCGAATCCAGGACCTTCTGTGCACCCTCCCAGCTTGGCCGCGAGTCTGTCCATCGACGCAGGGCCCAGGATGGCCCCAGCCAGGCAAGGCGGTGGTTCTCGGCTGCTTCTGTGGCAGCTCATGGGAGCCTGCCAGAATCGACGCTAATCCACGCTAGTAGACGCGAATCAACGCGATTCAACGCTATATAATCGATGGCCAGACGCTGATCCACGCGAGTGCACTCTAAAGACCGAGTGGCGCGGGTATACAAGGCTCCCGTGCTGTGCTACCAAAGGGTGCTCTCTGCTGACCCTGACATCCGCCGACGTGGTTGGTTCACAATCCGCAGCCCCCAGAGGCCCCGACCGCAAGGCAAGACGAGGTCCGATCGCGCGTGGAAGCCGCACGCGCCCCACGAGTGGAGACGGCGTTGGAACACGTGCAATGAAGCACAACTCTCTGAAGAACGAAAGTCTTGCAGGCAGGCTGCCGCGAGGTCAGAAAGGCGACAAAGTCATCGTCGGACTTTGCTCAGTCAAACACTCGGGCACCATGAAACATTTCAGTGCTCCGGCCGCGTCCCCGAGGTCTTAGTACCTCGTCCCAGATCCACGTCTAATGGCCCACAGGCCCGAGGACGGCCCCCAATGGCCGAGATTGAAGCACAACCGCCAGTTGGCAAAATCAGATCGTTGGAGCTCTGGGGAGGCGGGCAAGTACAGTCAGCATCGGATCGGAACGTGTACAGTCGGACCTGGGCCAGAAGAGATCCTTCCGGAGCATGAGACCCTCCGCCGGCCAAAACGCAAAGAACAATCCCAGGGCAACCTCCCCAGGGTGCGCAAGAACATCCAACAAACACGAACGACCTTCGGGTACCCTCCCCGAACCGACCTCGATCGGAATCGTTAATCCTGGCCTCGGTGGGGTACGGAGTCGAAATCTTATAGGAGAAGGGATCGGGGCTCAGTACTTGTTGTGCACGCTGAGCGGTGCAATGTATGTGGCGCAACCAATGTGCTGCGCTACATAGGTTGCAATTATGTGGAGTGCAACCAGTGTAACGCAATCGAATGGGACAATATTGTACCGACTGCACCGATACCTCGGTCCGACTGCACCGAATCGGACCGCATCGGCACGAAGACGGCATCCAATCGCATCGGCGGCGCCAGGACGCGCAGACGCGCCATGCAGGCACAGGCCCGTATCGGCGGCGGGCCTTCTCGGAAGGCTCAGAAGTCCCCAGACCTTCTGAACAGTTTCCTCACCCGTCCCCGAGGACGCAGAAAACTCCTCGGAGGGCGCGAGGGCCTCCGAGAAGTCCCGCCGCCTTCCGAGAAGGCCTGCCCTCTCCTTCTCCGCCTCCTCCTCCTCCTCCTCCTCGAGAAGGCCTGCCTTCTCCTTCTCCCTTCCCCCCTCGCTCGCCGCCGAATCAGGCTTGCGGGTCATACCTGGGGGCCTCTGGCGGCCGTGCGGGACGATCACAGGGCGCCCCTGGGACGCCCTCGGCGAGGCGCCGCTCCTTGCCGGCATCCTGGAGCTGGAAGGCCGCCGGGGAACGAACCAAAACGTCTGGAAGCCTCGAACCTCGGACCCCAAATTTTTCGAACCCCGAATTTCAAACCTCGAACCTCGAACCTCGAACCTCGAAACCTCGAAAATCGAAACCTCGAGCCTCGAACCCCAAATTTCCCCCCCTCCCCGCTCGCCGCCGACTCGACCTCGGAATCGGATCGGATCGGGCCGGCCAGAACCCATGTCGAATCGGTCCGGCTGGCTCGGCGTACGCGCCCGGGGAGGCGGCGCCCCGCCTCCATGCATCGGGGCGCGGCGGGGAGCGCGGCTCCACCATTAACCCCTGCCCGGGCGTCGTCCCCGGCGCTGGAGGCCTGCGCAGCCCCCGCCCGCGGCTCGGACGTCGCCGGCGCCGGCGCCGACGCCGACCCGAAGCCGAAGCCGACGCCGCCGCGGCCGCCGCCGACGACGACGAGGCCAGCGCCGAAGTCGACGCCGAAAACGGCGCTGGTTGCTCCTCTAGAAAAAAGGGCACACACACACACAAACGAATCCTGTCCAAGACAAAAGTTCGCCCTGGGCTAGCCAGGCGACGGATAGGGCGGGTGGATGACTGACGCCCTCCGTCGAACACCCAGATTCTTCCCAACACTCTTGCGTTGAGTTTTCGTAGCGAATATCTGAATAGAGCACTGTGGTCTCTGTTATTATCCTCCTCACTCCCCCTTCCTCATCCTCATCTTTCCTCCTCCTCCTCCTCTTCTCCTCCTCCTCCTCCTCTTCTTCCTTCTCCTGCGTTGCTCCCGTGGCGGCTGCAATCTACACAAATATCGCCACTTTGGTGGATTGTTGGGTGGTCCACAAGAGTGGAAACGCACGCGCATCATCAAGACGGGACCTCGCGGCTCCCTGGCCGGCGTCGAAATGCGCAACGTTCGCCAAGTTCGTGGGCCCTTGGGAGGTCCAGCGGAACTGAGGTGCACACAAGTCCAATCGGGACCTCGCGGTTCCCTGGGTGGTTGCGACATGCGCAATTGTCGCCAGTTTCGCAAGCCCCAGGGGAATCCAACGGACTGGAGGTGCACGCGCATCCCCAAAAAAACCTTGCTGTCTTTTTGGGTGGTTGCGAAATTCGCAACCGTCGTCATTTTCTTGGGCGCCCGAACTATCCGGGGTAACTCGGGTCCGGGGTAACGCGGGTTTGGATTCCCGAAATACGAACCCGAGTTAGCCTTGACCCGAGCTACCCCTGATGATTTGGGGCTCTGGACGCCCGAACTATCCGGGGTAACTCGGGCCCAGGGTAACTCGGGTTCGGAATCCCGAAAAGCGAACCCGAGTTAGCCCTGACCCGAGCAACCCCTGATGACTCGGGGCTCTGATTTTCGTGGGGTCATGGGAAGTCCACCGGAATGCAGGCGTACGCGCATTCAGACGGGACCCCGAGGCTCTATGGGAGGCTACGAGCGGCGCCGATGTCGCCATTGTCGCGGGTCGCTGGGAGGTCCACCGGAGTGGAGGTGCACGAGCATCAAGACGCGACTTCGCGGCTCCCTCGGCGGCGTCGAACTGCGCAACGCTCGCCACTGTCATGGGCCCCTGCGAGGTTTAGTGGGATTGAGGCGTGCAGTCGGGGCGTTGACCTAAGGAACCCTAAACAAGGAACGAGGCCCCTTGTTCCCATAAGTTAACCTTCGATTTCCTATCGAAGACATAAAGAAAGCCTGAGGCAAACTGTGAAACACTTAAGGAACGCGGAGCCCTTCCCCAACGAAAAGGGTTCCTTCTTCAGGGCCCCGACTGTACGAGCATGCAAACGGGACCTCGCAGTCCCCTGGGCGACTGCGAACGGCGCACACGTCGCCAGTCACGTGGGCCCCTGGGAGGTCCAGCGGGATGGAGGTGCCCGCGCACCGCGGCGGGACCTCACGGCCCCCTTGGGTGGTTGCGAACTGCGCAGATGTCGTCACTTTCGTGGGCCCGTGGGACGTCCAACCGCATGGACATGCGCGCGCACCCAAACGGGACCTCGCGGCTCCTTGGGCGGTTGCGGACCACGCAACTGTCGAAACCTTCGCAAACTCCTGGGAATTCCTATTAACTGCATGCACCACTCCATGCATGTGGCACACGCGCTCAGCCATGCCAGCTTCCCGCAAAACAGAAGGGAAGAAAACCGAAAACGGGTTCTGGGCGAGCATGCGCGGTAGTTACAGATTTGGCGGCGCCGTCGGCGATGTTTGCAACGGGCGATTGCCAGCCGAGTATGACAAGGAGCGCGCCCACATGGCGTGTGGCGCTGCCCCATCAGCAGCGCGCGCCGCTGTTGCATCACAGAGCAACTAGCGCTGGAACGCCACGTAGCGATGTCCTGGTCCAGTCGCCCCCCTCCCCAGGTATATGTCGCCCGCTGCGGCAACACGGGCGATTCGAGCACATGTACCGCATGGCGCCGCTACCCTCACAAAATATGTCCTCCCCTTCGTTTTCAATCGTCCGAGCCCTGTGTCCCCCCCTCCTCCTCCTCCTCCTCCTCCTCCTCCTCCTCCTCCTCCTCCTCCTCCTCCTATTGCTCCTCCACTTTTGTCCCCCGTTCTGTGCTGCGCAGGGGTAATACGCGCGTGGCCCGACGATGGTTCGCGTCGCCCTCCCCGGCGCTGCGCATCTCGCAACGTGGTCTAGTGTACAACAAAGCCTTCGCATGAATAGTGGCCTTGAACGCAAAATGTATTGGAAATGGCCCGGGCATGTTTTACAGCGGCCGAGTTGTCACGAAAACAAGCCATCGATGACTCCCAAATCAGGCCGCACGTCCTCCAAGTCGGCGCCAGGACAGCCCCGCGGAGCACGCCAACCATGGCAGACAATTGACTTGACACTTGGGAGGGCTGGCTCGTCTGGGATACGCACGCGGCGCAAATATATAGGAGACGGCCGTAGACCCGCCCGCCCATGCTGGACAGCGGCGGCCGATAAGAGGAGTGCGATGGGGGGGGGGGCAGGAGGAAATCCCTCCTCCCCCTCCTCCTCCTCCTCCTCCTCTTTTTCCTCCTCCCCATCCCCTTCCTCCTCCTCCTCCCCCTCCTCTACCTCCATGTCCTCCTTTCCCCCTTCCTCCGCCTCCTCCTCCTCCTCCTCCTCCTCCTCTTCCTCCTCCTCCTCCTCCTCCTCCTCCTCCTCTTCTTCTTCTTCTTCTTATTATTATTATTAGTCTTATGTTTCTGTTTCTGCTTCTGCTTCCGCTTCTGCTTCTGCTTCCGCTTCTGCTTCTGCTTCTGCTTCTGCTTCTTCATACTGTTATTAGTACCGTTATGTTTCTTATTATGATTCTTCTTACTTCTAATACTATTATTAATGTTATGTGTTTTCTTATTCCTAGTATTCTTGTTATTCTTATTCGTCTTATTATTATTATTATTATTATTATTAATAGTAGTAGTATTCGTATTATTATTGTTATTTTATTAGTAGTATTATTATTATTACTATTATTCTGACTATTATTACTATTATTATTATAGTAATCGTATTATTATTATTATTGATAATAATAATAACACCATTATTATTATTATTATTATCTTTATTATTATTATTATTATTATTATTAGTAGTAGTAGTAGCAGTAGTATTACCATTCTTCTTATGTTTCTTCCTCCTGCTCCTCCTGCTCCTCCTCCTCCTCCTCCTCCTCGTCCTCCTCGTCCTCCTCGTCCTCGTCCTCCTCGTCCTCCTCCTCCTGGTCCTCCTCCTCCTCCTCCCTCCTCCTCCTCCTTCCTCCTTCCTCCTTCCTCCTTCCTCCTCCTCCTTCCTCCGTACCTCCTCCTCCGCCTCCTCCTCCTCCTCTCCTCCTCCTCCGCCTCCTCCTCCGCCTCCTCCTCCTCCTCCTCCTCCTCCTCCTCCTCCTCCTCCTCCTCCTCCTCCTCCTCCTCCTCCTCCTCCTCCTCCTCGTCCTCCCCACCCATATTCCTCTTCCTTTTCCTTTTTTTTGTTCCTTCTCCTCCTCTGCCCCCTCCACCTGCCCCCCCGCATAAGTCGGGGACCTGGTGTCGGCGCCGGGACGGTCGGGGAACCCAAAGTGGTCGACCGCCGCCTGTATCGGCGGGACCAGAATAGAGCCGGGGAGTTGCCGGAAAAGGCGGATGGCGGCGGGGGGCCTCTGGGGGCGGCGCCCCCGCCGGCCGGGGAGCCCTCCCCCTGCAGGTGGGGTGTGGGATGAGAGATGGTCGGGGCGCCCCCCGCTGCCAGGGTCCCCCCTGGCTCGGGGCCCCCTGGCCTTTCTTACCTGGCGTTCCTCCCCCCTCCCCCCTGGGGCACCCCTGTCGGCCGCGAGGGCGCGCGCGCGGAGGCGGCGCGGCCCGTCCGACGCGCGGCGCGCCGCCTGGTCGGCAGGTATGTCAGCGTTGCCGAACCAGCACTAAGCCTTGGCACTTTGGCAGAGAAGCCGAGCCAAGAGCAAGCGTCGGGTGCGATCCCAGGCGGCTTAGTGGGACGCCGGTGACACCTTCAGGATGCGTGCTGGTCCTCCTCCTCCTCCTCCTCCTCCTCCTCCTCCTCCTTCTCCTCCTCCTCCTCCTCGAGGCCGGGGGATTGTGGAGTACATCGCTTTCGTGCAGGCGCAGCACCAGCAGGATGAGGCGCACCCCTCCTGGCCGCGCGCCTCCGAGCGGCGCGCGGAGACCCGCCCAGGAAGCGGGCGGGCCGGCGGGCCCCTCCGCGGCACTTGACCCCCCCCTGGCGGCGACAGAGCTCGCAGGACGGCTCCAGGGCGGGGCGACGACGACGACGACGCGGACGCGGACGCGGACGCGGACGCGGACGCGGACGCGGACGACGACGACGACGACGACGACGACGACGACGACGACGACGGCGGCTGCGGCGGCGGCGGTTGCGGCGGCGGCGGAAGCGGCAGCGGCGGCGATGGCGACAGCGGCGGCTACAGCCACGGCAAAGCGACGGCGGCGACGGCAACGACGACGACGACGACGGCAGCGGAGGCGGAGGCGAGAAGGAAGAACACGACGACGACGGCGGGGGGTGAAGGCAGGAAAGAGACAGGGAGGAGGGGGAGGGAGGCAAGAGGGCGGACGGCAGGCGAAGGGGGGCGGGCATACGGGCGACCCAGAATAAGGGAATCCGCCGATCCTGTCGGCGTGTGTGAGGGGCTTCTCCGTTCGACCCGTCGTCTTTGTAGTCTCCATTCTCCCCCTCCCAGGGCTCTCCTCCTCAAGCGCGCTATCCAAAGCGAAATTAAACGACGTCGTAGTAGAGTCGAAGGGAAGCCCCCCCCTTCCCTTTG